GTGTTAGGGCTGTACAGCTCACGCTCATGAGCGCTTATGAGCGCTCATATGAGCGTTTTTCCGCTCACGCTCACATGAGCGTGAGCGGTTTTTCGCTCACGCTCACGCTCACGCTCACGCTCATATGAGCGCTCATGAGCGTGAGCGTTTTCTGACTTAAAGAAAGTACGAGTGTCTCTGATCACTTTTTTCAACTTTGTTCCTCGAAAATCGATATTCATGATTTTTGTGCCTGGGGTCCCCCTCAGGTATCATGAAAAAAAAAATTTTTTTTTCACAAGTCAAAATCAGATGTAATAGTAGATTGAGAGGAGCTGGTTAAGAATATCACAATGAGAGCTCTCAAAATCTTTTTATTTTTGGAATAGCCCTAACAACTCTAGGCACCATATTCTTCATTATTAGGGTACTCATAGAATATTTATTCACTTAAATTTAGCCAGAAGCATCTTTCTTACCCCAAATCTCGAGTTCTCTACGGTTTTGAGTTTGTTACACCAAAAAAAAACATAATTTTGGAAAAAAGCGGTCATTCCAGTGTCAAAATGGACCTGTTTTAAATACATAGAATTTTCTTCTGACAACTTTTTGGGAAGACACCGTTATCATAACATGAAATTTTGACCATTAGACTAATTTTTCAAGCTCTAGCGGTTGGCAGCCATAAAAATAATTGAAAATGTCTAAACCCCCCTCAGAATAAAAAGGCATGGGCTTCTATTATGTCCCAGTGAATCGGTCGTTTTTTGGTGGCGTTATATTATGTCTTGTCGGAATTTTTTTCGCATTTTTCCTTGAAATTGGTATGGCGTTATATTATGTCCAGAGAATCAAACGGTCCGGGGTGGCCTTCTATTTTGGGTGCCTTTCTATTATAGGGTGGCGTTCAATTTTGAGGGGGAGGGGGTAGGAGTTTATATCATGGTCAAAAACTCTAAATTGTGATAAGATTCGCCTTTTCCCACTAGATTTGTCTATATATGTTTAATATTTAGCATGAAAACAGTTTTTCTTGGGCGTCAAACCCGAAGTATACATCTCGCTTTTCAAGTTCTATCGATTTGTAGTCGTGCAGAACTAGAAAAGAGGTATAGCACGGTAAGAAGTGCGAAATATACTCAAATTTGACATTTCTTCTGAGTTCGGCTATAATGGGTTAGTTTTCAGTATCAAAGTAGGGTTGTTGGAGCACCATATTCGAATTGAATTAGTAATTGTCTAAGCTCTCTTGATTGGCAGTCTGAAAGATAAAAAAACAGGGTACACCTGTGACCTATGTCGGAAGTTTAAAAGATTCTCATCCGCTTTTACTGCATGCATGTCCATCTATGTTTTTCTGATTTTGAACGTGAAGAGAAACAAGCTAGGGGTTTGAATTCGTATAATACTGATTTCCTTATAATGTTCTGTCAACAGAAAGCCTTATATGGAGAGAAAGAGTATCGGAAGATGACATCACCATGTCATATGCCTGAAGAAAAATAAGATGACCTCTTTGTTAAGTTGTTTGATTAGTACATTAAATTATGTGTTACTCGCGACAGGTACCGTCATTGTTGTTTCTTGTTATCATTGGCATATCTCATACATGAGTACCTTTTTGAAAATTCACTCTAACTAAGCCAATCATTAAAACACCATTAAGGTTTTACATATTACTCGAAATTTTCTCTCCGAAACTAGAACTACGCTTTCTATCAATGTATGATATATAAAAGAATAGCTGTGTTACAACCTTAACACGGAACAGAAGAGAAAAATGAAAGAAATTCATTGCACACAGTCAAATATTTTACAAATATGTCTTGGGATGCTTCCGTAACTGCACTAAAAGGAAATATATCTACTTTGAATAGAGCCCTCATGCTAAGCGTAACCTGCCCAGTCTTGCCTGGCAAGGCGGGACCAGATTAAAAGGCTTTTCACAGGATAGAGTACAGGTTTCGGAGGTCAGAATCTATTCACTGCGATAGAACTGTTGTCACCAGCATACTTATTAGATTTTAAAAGTAGGAGCAGTGATTTGGAGCTAGATTACATTGTTTAGATACGTTTCTTGTACGAAGGATAATGATATTGTATTTCTCGTTCGGATAACTCCTGTGAACACAAAAAACTAGCATGTGCCCAATATTTTACTTCTCTTTTTTATTTAAAAGCTTTAATTTTCTTAATCTGAGAATTCAGTGGAGTATCCGTGACCGTTTCCAATATTAATACATTCGTATTGAACAGGCTCTATATGTTACTTCCATCGATAACTAAGTTTATCATAAAAATGTGGTGACGACGGTTAGGTTTTCTAAGTTGTCCGTCCGAATCAAGACATTTCCCTTTAATGTTTAATAGCTTGATCTGTGAATCTTATATGAATATGATATTGTAAATCGTCTTGCTGCCTTTGATCAAAGTTAAGTGACTTTTCTTATAAAGTGAATGAGTGTCAGAATATCGCGCTTATAAAAAGCTACCATGCAGTTTTTTTTTGTTGATCATTATTGTAGGAACTAGAGAAGTTTCTTAGCACTTCTCTCTTGCGTTATATCAGCAAGACAACAGTTAGAGCCATTCTTCAACTCTAATGACGCTTCTGAGTTCAGTGCCTTTATTGACAAGATTCATATTTAAATTGTGAAAAAAAATGCAATCTTCACTGCCCAGCATCTCATATGACAGTTACAAAATATCCTGCTAGTTCTTAAAAATGTTGGCTTTTTTGGGCTGAAAAGAAACGTCAAATGTAGTGTACACTTATTAACATATTTGAAAAAATAAGTTGTGTGATCGATAGTGTATGTGTATATCATGATCAACGCATCAATAAATCAATACACAGCAAAATAGTATGCTAACCGGCATTACATCGAAAATCGCTATCAACTATGGTCTAAATAGATGACTGTAATTATAAATTAATCTACTTCAAACTAGATCTACATCGAAAACTTTTATAGAATCACATTCATTTCCCGTTGATCTTTGTCGATAGTGATAGCTGGACAACTCAGCTTGTCGTAAAAACCTGTGCGTTTAAATGTGAGATACAAATTTTTCAGGATGAGGCAGTGTAGGACGTTAAAGAGTACAAGTCTTTATCCTGCGGGACCTCAACTCTGAATATCTATATAAAAACATTGATAGTCAGGTCTTTTTTTATTTTGGCGGAAACATTGTAGATTTATTTTAATTCAAACTGTCTTTTCTTAATGAGATAAGAGGTAAAACAAAACAACGAAGCTGATTTAAATCAATTGAAATAGAAGCATTACGTTATTTCCACGCTTCTCTTCAATATTTGCGATCTAATCTTTTGTTCTTCTCCTTTTTATCATAATTAGACAACAGATCATAATGAATTCTCACAATCCTAAAATTTATTTAGTAGATAACACTCTTTCTATTTCAAATCTATTATGCAGCAGTTCGATTTATGCTGCTTTTCCCGCATAAGTACTCTCTAACAGGAATTTACCATTCAGTTATATTAGGATTTATATCGAACAAGGCAATGTTTCTTGATCCTGACTACTTTTTTCCCATCTTCCATCTTATCTATCTACCACCGGTATCATCAGTCAATCGAGTCTCAAAAAGTTTACTGAAAAGACTATCTTTTCTTTCAGAAAACTTGATTGCAGCAATATGAAAATTTTGAAAAGGTACGAAATGTTCCAGTTTTTGGAATTTCCCTTCTTTTGCTCTTCTGCTTTCATCTTGTGGCAACTGCAAATCGATAGAGCTCGAAAAGCGAGATGTATGCTTCGAGTTTGACGTCCAAGGAAGACTGTTTTCGTACTAAAAATCAACCATATATGTGAAAATCTTGTGGGAAAAGACGAATTTTACCAGAATTTAGAGTTTTTCATTATTTTGAACATATTTTCAATTATTTTTGTCGTTGCCAACCGTGAGAGCTTGAAAAATTGGTCTAATGGTCTAAATTTCATGTTATGATAACGGTGTCTTCCCAAAAAGCTGACAGAAGAAAATTCTATGTATTTAAAAAAGGTCCATTTCGGCACTGGAATGACCGTTTTTTTCCCAAAAATTACGTTTTTTTGGCGTAACAAACTCAGAACTGTAGAGAACTCGAAATTTTGGGTAAGACAGACGTTTCTGGCTAAATTTAAGTGAATAAATATTCTATGAAGACCCTAAAAATGAAGAATATGGTGCATAGAGTGGTTAGGACTATTCCAAGAACAAAAAGATTTTGAGAGCTCTCATTGTGATATTCTTAACCAGCTCCTCTCAATCTACTATTACATCTGATTTTGACTTGTGAAAAAAAAAATTATTTTTTCATGATACCTGAGGGGGACCCCAGGCACAAAAACCATGAATATCGATTTTCGAGGAACAAAGTTGAAAAAAGTGATCAGAGACACTCGTACTTTCTTTAAGTCAGAAAACGCTCACGCTCATGAGCGCTCATATGAGCGTGAGCGACCACCGCTCACGTGAGCGTGAGCGTGAGCGAAAAACCGCTCACGCTCATGAGCGTGAGCGTGAGCTGTACAGCCCTAGTATGTGTTGCCTCGTCAGCATTACGAAGTGTACCAACTTGTTACAGAATATGGCTTCTTTTAAGGGATTGACGAGGTGAATTTGGGCCTGGGCAGAATGTCCGGGCCGAAAATTCCTTGGGCCGAAATTCATGTAACCCGTCAGATTTTCGCCTAGTGTTTTAATAATGAACTGAATATTGAACTACGTAATTGTACGTACCGTCTTCTTTTGAATTTCGCTATTTTTCGAAGAAATTAAGACCAATGGCACAGACCAGAACGTAAATTTTTCATTCGAAGCTAGTTCTTAATGATGGGTATTGCAAACACGAAAGTTATTCAAAATATTTAGGAAATGCAGCAAATCAGCTAGCTCATAAATCACAATTTCAAGTTTTTTCATGTTTGTTCTATTTTCAGTAAAGCTGATGCTTAAACAGTTCCTTCTATTGTAGAGTTCTCCTGTCACTGCAAATCCAAATCCATCTATTCATGTTTGCAAAGGTGATTTGATAACGCAACAAGTAAGTTACCTTGGTATAATCAATAAATAGAGTAACGATTATCGATTCATTTTAGATTGATGTTATTGTTGTATGTTCATCATCGGAATATTTGTTTAAGGCGATTTGTGAAGCTGGTGGAGACTCTGTGAAAGCTTCTTTCGATGCAGAGTCGAAAAAAAAACCAGAAGCGCCTGTCATTGCTGTTAAAGCTGATGGACAACTTGCTTCAAAAATGGTTTACTTTCTTCCATGGAAAATGCCTCCTGACGCATCTCTTCTTCGTAAATCTATTGAAAAATTTGTCTCAGATGCAATGGACAAAGCAGTCACAGAAACATATCAAAGTATCGCATTTCCAGCTATTGGCTGCGGTAAGTTTGGATGTTCAATTAGTCTTGTTGCTCAAGCGATGATCGAAGAAGCTCATCAGAAATTACAGAAACATGCTATTTCGGTTTCGTTTGTCATACAGTCAGAAAGAACGGATATTTATGATGAATTTCAAAAGCAAATTAATTTATTACAACAACAGCCAACACAGCCAACTGAACCAGTGAAAACAATATCTGCAACTGTTAATAAAGGAACTATTGAAGTTGAGAAGGATGATATAACAAAACAAAAAGTATATATATCTATATATATGGGCGTGACAAACTGTCGGGATGTCCCATTTTGATGCAGTCCTATTGTAAGGACAAAACATACTATTGTCCGTGTCATATGATAGAGGATCCCAAATAACCCTGGATTGGCCTGAACAACACCATGTTTTATCCTTACAATAGTAGACAACAGCTGCCAGCGTCTCGTATGAGCTAGTAGCTGTTGTCTACTATTGTAAGGATAAAACATGGTGTTGTTCAGGTCAATCTAGGGTTATTTGGGATCCTCTATCATATGACACGGACAATAGTATGTTTTGTCCTTACAATAGGACTGCATCAAAATGGGACATCCCGACAGTTTGTCACGCCCATATCTATATATGAATTTTATTGTGTTTATATTCCATTTTCTTGTTTTTTTATTTGATAGGTAGATGTTATTATTGGAAGCTCATCATCGGAAATCTTAAAACAAGCAATTATAAAGGTAGCTGGCGATGAAGTTCAGAAGGCATACAATGCCGAATACAAAAATAATCCAAATGCTATAGTAATTTCAACACCACCAGGCACCTTACCTTGCAAACGAATTTTTTTTGTTAAATGGCAACCTGATATGGATGAGACGATACTTCAACAGTCACTGGTCGATCTAATTTGGACTGTCATACAAAATGTAATATCATATAAATTTACCTCACTTGCATTTCCAGCTATTGGATGTGGAAAGCATGGCTGTTCTGTAGGTGTTGTAGTCAAAACAATGGTTAAAGAGATGAAAGCTCAATTGACTATGAGAAATTTACCTTTGGTAGTGAAATTCGTGATACATCCAGACCAACAAAATATTTATGATGAATTTTGTAAACAACTATTAACAACTGAAGATGGTAAAAGTAAAATTTTCCTTCTATTGGTTAAATTCTATTTTCCGATATATACTGGTTAGAATGAGATACTTCTGAAAATTGTTACTACGTAGTATTAAATATTTCATCGTAGCCTATTCTGATAAATTTACCAAACTGTATCATGTACATTAGAACAAAACTTTATAACATTTGGCCCTAGGTCAAGAACCAAACTTAATACGAAACACTGTGTTCGTACTGATTAAGTTGTGAGATAGATATTGTTCACTATAATGACTATAGCTGATTCGTAGTTTACATTTATTTTGAGAAAAGTAAACAGAAGGGTTAGTTGTATGCGAATCAGTTTCTGTCACTGAGAAGATCAGGTGAATCTTAAAGAGGCGTTCTGAAAAAAATCCAGATTTACCGAATAAGTATCATTACACTTGAAAATACTGAGAGCAAAAAGATAATAAACATTTTATTCAATTTTTTTCATAGATATTAGGAAATCAGTTAATTATGAGCTGCCTCCAACATGGGAGAAATCCAAGGAAAATAAAATGCGTTTTGAGTTATCAACTACATCAAATGAATATAAATCCATCTTAACTAATTTCGATCAAGCTATGGCAGGAAAATATACACAAATATTACGAATAGAACGAATTCAAAATGAACGATGGTATATACAGTATTTAGCACATAGTCGAAATTTTCAAAATCGTCTCAACACAGATACTGAAAAATGTCTATATCATGGCTGTCCTGAACAGGCAGCCAGTTCAATTATGGAAGATTGCTTCAATAGAAGTTTTGCAGGAGTCAATGGTAAATTTAATTTTCATTTCTTTTTCAAATTTATATTGATTGTACTTTTGTTTTTAGGAACAGCATATGGTGTGGGTGTTTATTTTTCATCAAATGCGTCTTATAGTCATGGATATACCAAGCCAAATGCAAATGGAGAAAGAAATATGTTCTTAGCACGAGTTCTAGTTGGAAATACAAGTCAAGGTAATAGTTCAATGAAAACTAGACCTGTTGGATTTGATTCAACTACAGATGGAAAGCATATTTTTGTCACTTATCATGATGCTCAAGCCTACGCCGAATATCTAATTACTTATAAATAAAACTAAATAATTAATTTTTGTATTTCTTTACATATTATTTATTCCAGATCCGAAGTTGATTAGAATCTTTTGAGAGGATGATGTAATGAACTTTACTAAAAGAATTTAGAATTCTTTCATTAGGGTGTGGGTGTGGGTCTGAGTATGAGCGTGGGTGTAGAGTGTGGATGGGTGAGGGTGTCGGTGTGAGTGTGGGTGAGTATGGGTGTCGGTGTCGGTGTGGATGGGTGTCGGTGTGGGTGTGGGTGTGCGTGTGGGTGTGGGTGCTTGTGGGTGTGTGGGTGTGGGTGTGGGTGCTTGTGGGTGTGTGGATGTGGGTGTGGATATGGGTGTGAATCTTCCGTCCATTTACATACACACCCGCAAGAACATGTAGTATGAACCCATGTGAAAATTTTTGCCTTTGTAAGCTATTTGCAAGCGGCTTAAAAAGGCTTACACTTCAATAAGGGTGTGGGTGTGGGTGTCGATGTTGGTATCAAGAGAAGACAAACACCCACACCCACACCCACACCCCACACCCCACACCCACACCCACCCCACTTCCATATTCCCATGCGGTAGCCTTTGGAGGTCTAAGGATACCTCTATAGGATAGACCTTGACGCAAAAGAACTGTTTGGACAGCTCCTGTGAGAGAAACTAAATCTGAGCTGTTCTACTTTTATTTACGCGTCATTTCATCTTCGTCAAATACATATAACTGTTCAGAATTTGTGATGATAAGTATCAGTGCCATCTATCATTCACAAAAATTAAGCCACAAAGGTTTTTGATACAATAAACAGTTCTGGATTACTCATTAGCGCGATGCGACTCACTCGTGGGTCATGGTAAATAAATTTGAATATCTCCACTCTATTTTAATCAAATGAGCTATTTTGTTTTGTCGATGATAGAGGAATGTTTAAAGTTTTTCTTCATAAGAGAAACATGAATAAATCCTGCGTTAAGATATTATAATTGGCTCTAAGAAGGAAAAGTAATCTTCTACGATTTTCGAAAAAATACGATCACATTTGTATTCTAAAAGTTACTTTGGATAAGTAAACCATTATTAATTCAGCAAGTTCTAACAAATTAGGCTAATTTTTATTTCGAATTATAGGGAGATATTCCTAGTATAATATGTTTTACATAAAACACAGCCTATTACAATTCAAAGTTATCATGCATTGTACATAATTTTCTTTGAAACCTGTAGCATGTCACTTTTCCTTGTTATAGTCAATTATAATACCTTAACACAGTATTTATTCATGTTTCTCTTATGAACAAAAACTTTGAGCATTCATCTATCATTGATAAAACGAAATAGTTCATTTGATTAAAATAGAGTGAATATATTCAAATTTCACATCGCGCTGAATTTTTTAACATTGATCGGTTGTTCGAGCTGAACTGTTCAAAAAGATCAGTTCATATCGAAAGAACTATTTCAGCAGTTCATTAGCTCATCTGATCTGAGTTCGTGAGATTACGTTTTCTGGTGTGTTGGAATGTAACAATGCCAATATTACTAATGTTACATCCCTCTTAATGATCAAGCCGAAATAAAATGATATCTTATTCATATCAAATACTTAATCACGTAATATGAAGTGAATTAAGTAATGCACCTCAACTTTTTTTTATTAATATTAAGCGTGCAGTTAACAATTAACACTTAACATTAAATTAAGATAAAAGAACCATCCGTACCACACCCACACCCTCACACCCAATTAATATTCGAATAGATCGATAAATATCCAGCTGCATAAGACTTCTAACATAATTGATCACTGTCTTTTCCTAGTCAGAAAGTATATGGAATTAGATCAGTCATATTATTGGATAATAAATAGACTTTTATTTGACAAGAATAAAAATATGCCTCTGTCATCGAATAACATTACTCTTTTTCTCATTTACTGACAGATTACACGTTTATTTCTAATTCTTCTTGTGTAAAAACATGAAATTTATTTTATGCAAATTTAACAATAAATCATATACTGTTACCATGAGTGTGAAGAAGGACGACAGACGGACGTTAGAAATTCAATTGTCTTTAATATTAATTTCGCAATGAACTCCAATTTTGATACCATGTTTGTCATGGTTTGAGGAGAGGGAAGAGGAGATCCAGTTTTCCTATCCTTATGCATCAACACTCATTTTAGATCATATTTCACAAAAAGTATTAAATCCATATAATTCATCAATGATTTCTAAATAAAAGAATTCCCCACACAAAGACGAAAGACTTCTCATACTCGTTTTGGAACACTAGCAAAGCATCAATATCATCGGTTCGAGCGAGTTGTATCGAACTCGGTTTGAAACCTGATCATAACAAAATTTTCATCGTTGATATGAAACAGACCAACACAAAAAACTATACACGTGTTTATTTATAATATGAAATCGATAAGAAACATCTTCATTAGACAAACACAAAAACCAATGATACAAAAAACAAGAAGACCGAATGTCCATATATAGTACATATACATGTTGTCCTTGCTCAATGAACAATACAAACTTCCTACAGCGACTAAAAGGCCACCGTTGTTATTTGCCAATAAGAATCGAAGTGGATTGTCATTGTAAAATTTGTCATTTATCTAAAAATTCATGAATGTATATTGTACAAAAAAAGTTGATATGAACAGCGAACTTTTGAATCTCGACAAACAAATAGGAATTGATACATCTGTTTATTTTTCGAATCAATATGTTTGTTGACCTTATCTATCTAATTCTAGGACAGACTCGAGACTTACCTCATTGGCAAATATCAAATGCCAATAGTTGAATAGGATGTAGGCCACAACATTAAATATCAAGACACAGATATAACCAAATAAATAGACTGACATATGATCATATTTTTTAAAAAGTTTTGGACAAATTGTACTCATTGCGTAGAACATTGGCGAATTCAAGGCGTAAAAGGCTTTATCACGACCTAAAATGAAAGTCGGAACCATGTAAATCCATATGCTCAATGAAATATTTGTTAAACAATAGATCAATATGAACGATATGATCAAAGAAAATAACGAACGTTGAGTTAACATGAATCGAATACGATGCCAAATGTATTCTCGTTGCCGTAGATAATTAGAATTTGAATTCGCTATTCTCGGCTGAACGATAAACAATAAAACAATATAAAATTCTTTTCGTTAGTCACTCACTTTCTTTTTCATCCACATATGAACAGTAAAACCATTCAAACAATAAGTAAACTCATCCTTTATCAATTGTAGACCATCATGAAATGATAATTTACTTCTACCATATTCAGATGAAAACTCGAAGTTGAATGATACATTTAGCAAATATTGAAAAGCATCGATAAATGCAATCAAAATTTCTACATGTCTAATCGACACATTCAATCGTTCAATACATGGAAAAAGATGGCATAGACGACGAACAGTATATGGATCATCAATAATATGACCAGACGATATTGTCAGCGTACGTATCTGACTCCATTGCATATGTTGAGTTTCCTTCAAAAAGTCGGCAAAATAACCATCGTAGTACGAGAAGTTGTCACTTGGTTTGCTTATCCACTAAAACAAAAGATGATCGTCATTTTCATATAGGAGTAGTTTTTATTTTCTACTTTTATCTGTGACTTCAGTACCAGTGTCCGGCTCGGACTAGATCACGAAAACCATACTTGATCTCGAGTCAGATCGGACAGATTGAGTCTAAAGATCGGCGTCACTACTTTTTTTTCGATCACGGTCACAAAAATTCTCTCAAAAGTTTGAGTTTTAATACAAAATTTGGGAAACGTGTTTTACGGTGATTGCAATTAGAGGTCAAATAATATTATTGAAATTAGATAGAAAATACTCCCAATTTAATCGTTTTTTATCACACAAAAATAGACTGAACTTAGGCTTTTGTTGTGAAACACGATCTAAAAGGAGCGTTGAGGAGTAGAAATTTGAATCCATTTCTCTTCTCTACAGACATGACAGACACTCTTAACAACGGTACATTGGAGATGTACCAGACGCCTTGGCAGCGTTGCTTTCGTCATAGACGCCTAAGTTTTTCTCTCGCTCATTCACAGTATCAGCAACATCATCACATCTACCCTTTAGTCCCACATTCATTTAGGTTTACTGAGAAAATGGTCAATGTCTGAAAACATCCGTTTTGATGGATCGGACGAAAAATTTTCAGTCTCGGTTCGGGTTTAGTTTTGCTCAGATTGTCTCGTAAAAAATTGATCCATGTTAGTAGTGATTCTCTCAAAGAAATAATTGCAAAAAAAAAACAATTTTTATCTTACTCGTGTGATTACGAGATGTTGTAGATGAGGTATTTGAGTTAACAAAAAATTGATCGTTGACCGTTCCATCGACGACGGAATGGTCAAAGTCTTCACCGCATTCAGATTGATTGCAGTCATTAGACTTTCAATTATAATTTCATCAGACAAAAGTTCTAATGTGTTGATATTATTAAAGCGATGACACGTTTCGATAGTTTTCGTGTCCAAGGCTAGCTTCGTAATAGATTCATAGAACAAAACATTATTCGATATAGTCCAATATTTTGGTAATGGAAAGAATCTACTAGCGTATGTGGGTACGAAACGAGGTATTGTATAAAGATGATTATTTTTATAGGCCACAAACCAATGTTTTTCATCGAGCCAGAATTGAGTACGAAATGAATCAAGAATATTTTCGATTGAATGCTCATGAAGTGTAATAGCGAAATTGAAGTTAAATGTGAGAAGATCTTTTGTCAATATTTCCCACTGATAACCATCGACCAAATCATCAAAAGCATTTGTGCACAATTCGAAATGTTTCAAGCGAGGAAAATTTGATAGAAGTTCATCCATTTCATTCATTGATATTTGATAGTCTGATAAATAAATAAATAAATAAATAAATATGAAAGATCTCATCGAACAACAATACTTTGATCACTTACTCTCGATTTTGAGAAGAAAACGCTTGATATGAAGTAATCGACAT